ATATAATATGATTATATTCAGATTTTGAAAGGGAAATACGTGTTGAAGTAGTCTGTACTTTCAATGTATGTTGCTTTTACAACAAACATCATGTGTTGTGTTAGTTTTACCAATATTTTTCTTAAAGCGAGGTACAATGATAGGAAGGGGTGGTAGATCTCTGGCAGTTTTGACACTAAAAAGTCAATCACAACCTGTTTGAAGATGGACATGCCTGCTCTACAGTATTGTTTTTGTAATATTCTCTCATGGATAAGAATTTAATCCAATTATCCAAATTTTTTGTTATCTGGCACATTTGTCATTTTTAATTTAGCTAATCAATGTCCTTTGTATACCTGTTTCATTGCCTATACCTAAGGGACTCCATATTTAGACACTTTCATAACAATGACCAGTGTCTGTCTCTTCATGTGTCTAACTGTCCTGTTCAGGTTTGTTCTTCTCCTCAGTCCCTTTACACAACACAATAGCATCTTCAGACAGACTATGGCATGCTATCCCCAATTCATTATTCATAATCATCTTTTGCTTCTTATGAACTAACTTTTGTAGGTGAGATATTGTTGTGAAATGAGGCTGTAAATGTACAAAATTATGATTTTCCTGTTTATCTGCAGTAACTACTGTTCTTGTGGTTGAATGGTTTGTAATGAAACCAGAATTATTTGAATGATTCTTTTTTTATACTGTTCTGTTGTGAAGCAGGAAGGTGTACTGTGGACTATTGCTTCAAAAACTTGAAACTTTATCCTTTATTGTCTGACTTTGCAGTTTCACTTGTTTGCTGTCTATGTGCAACGTCATTTTGTATTTTATTGTTGTTTTCTCTTTATTGTCACTACATGTTTTGGCCTAACCAGGCATCAACAAGTGTACATGCTGTGAAGAAGGAATCACTGCTCACTGCAGTGCTCTTCTACTTTTCTTATGTAGTTGTCTCTGATTAATTCTAGTTTTATGGGGGTTAACAGAGTGTTGCTATGCACGTGTTTCTCCTTCATTATGTTATTGCTTTTTGAGCAGGCCTACTGCTACTGAACTAGGATTCGATGTATGTTGGAGAAATCAAGACCGTTGACATTTAACATGACTGGGAAGGAATCCCTGGCATTGAAATCCCTTAGAGACAACAAGCAATACTAATTCTACAGGCTGACAAAGGAAAATACACAGTAGTGTTGAATGAGTCAACAAACGAGGAGGAGATATTCAGTCTGCTAGAATTGGAGGTTATGAAATTCTGCATAAGATCCTACATCTCACATTGAGATGAAGATATGGAAACTTCTTACCAAACACAAAACTGTCCTTGCTGCTTCCTTGAAACATAAACTGACTCCTTACCAAAGTAAACCACCTCACCTCTATGGACTTCCCAAGATACACAAACCTGACAACCCCTCCAGACCAAGAGTTAGCTCTATTGACTCTCCCTGTTATGACTTAGCAGAAGTTCTCCGAAGGATCCTGAGCCCTCTACCTGGTAATACAGACTCCTTCGTGAAGAACTCAGAACACATCATAAAATCAATACTGGATATCGACCTTCAAAAGAAGGACTACCTTGTAAGTTTTGATGTCAGTCTATTCACCAACATACCACTGGAAGAAATTTTACAGGTCATAAGAAATAGACCCAGTGTGGATCATTCCTTACCCAAACACTCACCTTTATGGACCCAACCACGTAAATGCCTTGCATCACTTCCTGCTGGGACAGAAACAGATGCAGTTTTCACAATGTTGCATTTTGTTTTGAATACTGGATGAAGGAGAAAGCCCCAGAACCCATAACTCTGATTATTGCATATAGTCATCAGATCCCATTAGAATTCTTGAATTTCTGTTTCTAAAGATTGTGGCTACAAAGTGTGTCATGAGGCAGCAAGCTGAGCTAAGTTTGACACTTGCTTCTGTTGCTTTTTGTTTAGCTTGCTCCTTGACACAGAAGATGGAGGCAGTATTTTTCCTCGAACGATTAGTTGGAGGACTCCGTACTCTTCCTTCAGAATTCATTTAGCAGTGATAGGGTTACTAGTGTAGAAATTTAAAAATCTCTGTGTTGTATATTGTATTGCAGGCCCCAGCTATACAGTGGATACTGCATGCTCATCCAGCTGCTCTGTGCTTGATCAGGCGTACAGAGCCATCCGTGATGGGTGTTGTGACTCAGCTATTGTGGGCGGCTGCAATCTTTTTTTCCATCCGCAGGCATCCATCCAGTTCTCACAGCTCGGTGTTTTAAATCCACAAGGTGTTTGTAAAACCTTCGACAGGGATGGTGAGTACAAGTTTTCCATGAATATAAATACCAAAGCTGTCTGACAATTGTTGTTGAAAAATATTTGATCTCATGTTGATTTTGTCATGTACACAGCTAATGGCTTTGTGCGGAGTGAAGCCATATGTGCAATCTTCCTTCAAAATGCTAGCGAAGCAAAGCGTGTGTATGCTACTGTACTCAATGCCAGGAGCAACAATGATGGCTATAAGGAAGAGGGCATCATGCATCCGTCTGGAAATACCCATAAATTGCTGTTAGATGAGTGCTACCGGGAGTGTGGTGCCGACAAGTACTTACTAGAATATTTCGAAGCTCATGGCACTGGCACCAAAGTAAGTTCTATTGAAGCTCAAACAAAGGCTCCTTTTTCTCTAATGATCCATTAGAATGTGCTAATGGATGGGGCATCTGGTGGTCTTGGGAAAGGGCATCACAGTGTTCCGAGGTCTGTCTCCAGTGAGGTCTGAGTTCAAATTTTTTTGCATAATGTATCATGATAGGATTAGTAATTTAATGGACTGTGAGGCTCTGATATGTAGTTTAGAACCTCAGTCAGGGTTGAGAGGAAAGAAAAAGAATGACAGAAGGGCAAAGGTATGAGAAGGGTTGACATTATTGNTCTTCTCTGAGTCTTCCAGGATGTGCATGCTTGAAACTCTAGACAGCGCAAGTCAAGGGTGTGACAGTGATGTATGGATTTATCTGAACTTTGTTTATTCATCATTTTTTGTTTCTCCTTGGTTTAATATTGTAATGGATTTGATCAACTCATTGCCATGCAAGAGCTTGTTAAGCGTGGCCCAACACATGACAATAGAGGATGCTGTGTTTTCTGTAGATCCAACCAGCACGCCAATAGACTGGCTGGATAGGGATTATGTGATATATGTTTACTCTAGGTTCGTATCCAGTCTGCAGCTATATAACGAGAGCTGTGAGCTGTAAGTTCAGGGCAGATTGGAACTAGGAGTACAGAAGAGTATAAAGAAGTCACCCTGCGAAAACTTCACATGTAATTTGAAGACTTTATGTATGCTGTGGTGCAGTGATATCTGGAGTGTGGCAGTTATTGTTCCTGTGTTATAAAATCTGTTGCCAGGAAACGGATAGGAAAATCTTTGCAGAGGAATAATCATTGCTTAAATCTGTTACCTAGCAACAACTAGTGTAAGCAGATATAGAAAACTTTATTATGTGTTATAATTAAAGTAATCTTGAAAGTGTTATAATTAATTGTATTTACGACTTGTTATTGGTCAGTAAATCCAATTACCAATTAGAGCCCACAGCCTAGTCACTGATACACATGACAGTATTTTAATATCTGTATGTGTATGCTTCCCTTATTTCCAGATTATGAATGTTCTTTGCTAGAGATCCTCTTGCAGTTCATATGTAGTTACATTAGTTTTTTTTTAATATATACGCTATATAGTTACATGTTCATGGCTTCATGAATCTCTCTTAATCACAGTCAGTTACAATAACTCACAATCAATCTTCAGCGAAACCTTTCTTCTTTGATTACCGAGGACTCCCTCCATGCTCATTCTTGTTCTACAACTAACCTGGTTCTGTACCACTTATATAGTCTTGAGGTGGACCCATAGAAAACACATCCATTGCCCAACAACATGCAAACCACATAGACAACACCTCTTCCTCTGTTGTTGTATTTGCAGTGCCTTGCATGGTAACAGAAGTTAACTGGGTTTTTCCTGCATATTCATTGTTTATTCATTGTGTTTACTGAGTTGTTGCCCAGCAAGGGGTATACATGTCCAGTACTGTTGCTAATTTATGAATGATATCTCCCTAAGGTTAAACTATGATTCTGGGACAAACATAGTAATATATAATGGTACTTTGCCAGGTTTGTTGGGAATATGAGGTTCCAATTGCCTTGAAACTACATTGCCTAACAACCCAGAATACTACACCCTTCATAGTCATTGCTGAGGCTTGACTAAATAATGCAATCATTGTTATGTATGTGTATGCTATTAGGGATGGAATTGTGTATGTTGCTTGATATGGATGACAGGAGTAACACATTCATACCTTACATATCTCAGTTGCGTTTATTGTGGTCACATTGGGATTGTGGTTGAGTGAAATGTTTATGCAGGCTTATATATTATGTATGTTTGTTGTAAGTGAAATAAATGATGCCCTTCTGGTAACTTTGGCTCTGTATAACACAACCAGCCTGAAATACATTTATAAAAAGGCTGGTAGCATTCACACCATACATATCAGTGGAATCTGGGATTAATTATTGATGATAACTCTTTCGTGGAAACAGCATATTGATTATGTTATTAATAAAATTTCCATTGCATGTTATGCATTGAGAAATATAAAATATTGTCGCGTATCGGGCGTATATCGCGACAAATAAATTCTCGATGTACTCGATGCAGCGAATTTTATTTCACACTCGCTCTTACAATCACCCAAATTACAATCTGACGATTACTGCTATCTGCAGTATCACAAATAGTACACTCCAAATGCCACACTAGAACTGAACTGGTTGCTGGCTAACTCGACGATAGATCCAGGACTCGCTGACTGACTCAGTACAACTCGCTGGTAGCCACACTAGAACTGGCTGTGAATAGCCTTCGCTTCTCCCTATGTAGCCTCGATCGGACAATACGGGAAAACGGCCACGTAATAGGCACCCTT